GAAGTACAATTAATTTCATATGTCACAATAGTGTTGACTTGCCTATAGAGACGTACACAAACAAAGGTACTTATAAGAAGAAAACAACTCAACAATGAATGTCAAAAGAAAAAACAACTCAACAATGAATGTCAAAAGAAAAAACAACTAAAAAATGACGTTTACTTTGAGTTTTTCTCTAACTTTGTCGCTTTTTATGAATAATATCGATTTCGTTTTGGAAGTACAACTAATTTTATATGTCACAATAGTGTTTGACTTGCCTATAGAGACATAACAAAGAGGTACTTATATAAACTCAAAGGATCAGGTCACAAATACGTGCAAACCATTTCGTCTATCTCCATCAAACATCCTAAGTTTGACAAATCAAATCTTGTTTTTTAATTTTATTTTAATTTCGTCGCATCTCTATACACACACATGAATCGTAATACTAACCACATGTCAAAATCTTAAGGACAGAGACACAACCGACATACATGTAAGTCACTACTTCTCATCACGCGGACATGAACGTGCTTCCCATTTTCTTTACATTTCCTCACTACTTATATCTCTATCCTCTCAATATTTTTTACCGGAAAATTATAAAACCCATCTCTCAAAATTCTCATCTTTTTGGTTTAGTTTACAAATCTTAGTTATGCCTCCTCCTGCAATGATTGCTTTTAATGATGGTTTTTCTCAGAAATCTAACGATATTGAGTGGCAAGGTTTCAGAGTTTTTCCAGGAGAAAACCCTAACCCTAGTTTCAATATCTTGGTGAAGAAGGCAGTTACGCAAAGCGAGAAATTAACCAGTCCTATTCTCTCACGTTCGTCGGCGACAGACGACAGTTTCAGAATGGTGTTACCGCCTGCGATGCCTCCGCCAAGAGACTCGGCGGTTCCGCTTCCAATGCTCCCGGAACCGATGAGAATCAGGAAGAAACTTAGCCACCAAGAAACAATAAATTTTATGAGGAAGTCACCTTGTTACAAGGAAGAAGATTTCAAATGTAACGCATTCTGCTTGTCTATTCCTGGATTCGGGAAACACAAACCGGTTAGATCTTCTTCGAAACGTCAAGATTTGATGGAGAAGAAGATGATCAGAGCGTCTTCTTTCACTCATTCAACTGTTTCCATGCGCGCTTCGCTCGAGAAATTCGAATGCGGTTCTTGGGCTTCCACAACGGCTCTGATGCAAGAGAACGGTCGGTTGTTTTTCGATTATCCGGTAGAGATGATGAAATGCAATAGCCCGAGCCGCAGCGGAAATGGAGGAAGAGATATGCAAGAACCGGTGACTTCTGGTTTCTTGTTCGATAAAGAAACAGAGACTTTGGCTTTGAGAAGCGTTTTAAAGACGAGGAGCACTCGAGATCACCGGAGATCAGCTGAGAATTCACCGCAACGCCGTGTACGATTCTCGACGTCATCTTCCTCGGCTTCGTGCCCTACTTCGCCGCGATCTTGTATCACTCCAAGATTGCGTAAGGCTAGAGATGACTTCAACACATTCTTGTCCGCACAAAACGCATGAACAAGGGAACAAAAAAAAACAGAGCAATTGAGACCTTTTTTTTTA